GTAGTGGCTGCGCTTGATGGCCGTGGCGACTTCGATCCCTGTGTAGGAGATGGGCCGGCCCATTTGCTCGGTGAGTTGTCTGGCGAGGTCATCTTTTCGTTTCTCGAGTTTGGCGAGGGCGCGGGTCACGATTTCCTGCCGCTGTTTGAGGGTGGTGGTTGTGGAGAAGGATTGGTAGGCTGATTGTGCGGATTCGGCGATGCCGACGATGTCTTCGGGGTTGGCGCCCGTGCGGTTGAGGATGGGTCGGTTGGTTATGGGGGAGATGGTGGTGATGTTGGGGACGGACATTGTGATGTGAAATATGGGTATTGAGGGGTTATGGGGGACGTGGGGAAGGGAGTTGGGGAAGAGGATGGAGTGGATCATTTATCGGCGACGTCAGGAGGGGTATGGCGTCATGTTGTCGGGAGGTGCCTTAGGGTTTACTACGATGAAGTATAGAGCTACATGGTTTGTGATGTAAGGTAGGATTATGTATGCCTGCTTCCGAGGGGCCCGAGTGATGGACATTACACTGTCGATCCGGTGGCGAACTGGTAATTGCTCTTGCATGAAGTACCTATACCTACTCTATACTAGATGTTTAATCAGACATCCCGCACCAGCCGGGCTCCTGCCCAGGGGTAGGGGTAGTTCCGCTGGTACCAGTTTACACTGAATAGATTAGCTCGTGGACAGCTGGCTTGTAGATGGGCGACTTACAAGGTAGTGCGGCCGGCGATCCGTGGATGCGTCGCCCATGACCCTCCGAGGATGACATTGTGCTTTCCATCGAAGAAGTCGGCTGTTCTTGATTAGCTTTGTTTGTATGTGTTTGGCGACGAGCTTACATGTATATCCGGGGTAGATTTGCATGGCCTCGAACCCGTCGTGGGGTGCAAGTTCCGTGCTCGTCCACTCCCAGACGCCTCCCAGCTCTCCATGACCGGCGAGTCGGTCGCCGTTCTGGATGACTGGGGTGGGGTGCCAGTGTTTGAAGCCGACGTTACAGTTGTCGAGCTCAACAAACACCGGCAGAGACTCGCGCGAAGGATGCTGTACCGGTTGGTGGTCGGGAGTGCGAGGCCGTAAGGGGTTGGTTTCGCTATGTCCGTGTCCATTGACTCCGTTGGTTTGACTGTGGCCGTAAGCCCTGTGCATTCAAGCGAAGCGGTCTACTTACCTATGACCGTTTGGAAGACCGTTACTAGTTTCCTTCAGTCGAGCTGCATGCGCGTAGATACTCTTCGCCTCTTCGAAGCTCGGTATCCTGCAGTCCACCCACTTGGCATACTTTGCCAATTCATCGTACGACGCGATCACCGGCCAGTCCTGGGCCAGCTCGAGCGGGACTGAGCCAAACACGGTGCGAACGGCAAAGTGTGCCATAAAATCGTTCGTAGCGTAACTGCTGCTTTGACTGACACCATTGCATGTCGGGTATGTCTGATCAGACTTGACCAAGACCCAGGATTCTGGCTTCTGAGGCAGATGATTTGCCTGTAGATACTTGGCGTACTCTCCATTTGTGATTGGTCGCGCTTGCGCTTCGAATGCCTTGACTGTGATCTTTCTCTGGGGCTTTTCGTTATCCCATCCATAAGAGTCATGAGGAACCGAATGACCGTCATCGTCTAGACCAACCAAAAGCGTCTGCTCGGGAATCGAAAACCACTCGTTCGGTCTTGCTTCTTGCCGGGCATCGCGGAATAGCTTCTCAAAATCCGGTTGCGGAACAGCTGGAGGCGAAAGTGTTCTTTCGCTCTGTATAAGCATGTAAAGGAACGTTTCCAAATGCATGGCTTCATGCTCAAACCCGATCCAGAGTGCTTCGCCGAGCACGCGATTCTCAGCCACATTATGCTTCTCAAAGATGGACCTCACCCTACTTCGAACCCGCACTTGATAGTCTAAGATGTCTGCAAGGGCAGGCCATTCGTCCGGAATCTCGCTGTGAGAATGGCACTTTTCGGGGTCATCCACATCGGGATCGATTCCGCGTTCGAAGATGAGTCGATATGACTTGGGGTGCGTTGGCTTTTCGCCCAACGCTCGGGTCAAATGGACATCTACTCTTGTCAACATACGTCTATTACGCCTGGTTCCTGATAGGCAAAAAAATACTGACCGAGAAAAGTAGGAATATGCCCAAGATAGAAAATCAAAGCATTTCGCAATTTGATTGGCTTCGAAAGAAGTTCCTCTCTGGGAACCATGGCCTTGGTGACAATATCCCATGCCGTCCACAGAGACTGGAACTCCTCAAAGCTCGGCACAGATTGAGCCGCATATTGTGACGGGCTCGTTGGGAAGTTGAGGGTAGCCGAGGACAGCACGTGGATAACTGCCCGACAGATTATGTTAGTATAACGGTCTCAACAGTGTAACATGCTGTGCACAATGCAGTGCAACATGAGCAGTCGTAGCACATTGCCAAAGGATGACATACGGTAATCCCCACACTCATTGCCAAACTCAGCGTCCTCAATTAAACCCGCATCATGCCATAGCTGATCGCACTGCTCGGGGGCATATTTGAATGCCTCCTCGAAAATCAGCTTCTCGCCTTTCTGGAGCAGTACCCCGTTTATAGTCACGTCCCGCTTTGGCGCGTAAAATGCCTGGTGCCGCCCTTCGACATTATCGTACTCCGTCACGATGTCCCATTCATCGAGCTTGAATGCTTCGTATCCAAGCACAGCGTTCGCATGCGACAACCCGTTCTCGTAGAACTGCCGCGTTATACCCTTGGAATCATTGTATGCCTTGTACACTTTATCCGAGTCGGTGCAACTATCCAACCCAAGCACCATCAAGTCCGACGGCCCCAGGAGCCTGGAAAATTGCGACAAGAATTTTGCCGCCGCAGGACGATCGAAGTTTCCTATTGACGAACCCATTGACATGATTACCGTTGGAACCTTTCGATTCGCGGGGTTTTCCAGCCAGGTAAGGGCGTCGTCGTACGTGCCATGGAGGCCATGAAGCTCGACATATTGATATTGATCGAGGGACACTTCCGAGAATGTGCGCTCCAACTCCGAGAGCGACAGATCCAACGCATAGTAGTCCACTCTTTTGCTCGCCGCTTCGAATTCCTGGAGAAGAATCTCAATCTTGCGCAGATTGCTACTACATGTTAGGATCCCGTATCTGCACCCTAGACTCTATACATGCTCCGAGCGGAAGGAAGACGCACCCACTACCTAGCTCCAGTAATTGCGCATTATCCGGGATGCGTTCAACGATCCTCTTCGCATGTGTCCGTAGAACGTCAATCTCCGCGTTTGTGAGATAATATTCCTCCAGGTACGTAATGTCCTCGAACAGCTTAAGCCCCTGAGCATCGTACAGAAGCATCGTGGGCATGGAACGGCAAGTTCCTGCCGGAGGATCTATACCTCGCTGGATATCATTTACCAAGGAAAACTTCACGTCATTCTGACGGATGTCGACGATGTCAACGCCTTTGACGACCGGACATAAGGGTGACATTTTTGGTGAGCACGGAACTCTAGCAACAATAAAGCAAATAGAAAAGCAACAGCTATACAAGCCACTCCAGGAAAAAAGAGTACAAGTTCAAGGGTAAGCCACAGAGCTTATATTATTGTATGCGCGCGCAAACCGCGGATGGTATCGGGGGGGGGCTAATGAGGGGTAGATGAGGAGAAGCGTCCAGTCCTTGCAGCGAGGGTATGCAAGATTGATCATCTACGAGTAGATCCACCACTGGATAAATAGCTCGACAGGTCAGACTCGAAGTTGGCGTGGGGTGTATCAGAGAGACCAGTATCACGCTGCGCGTCCCACCTCTCTCAAGAATATCAGGGGCGGCTGTTCCTGCACTATCGAGGGAAGCGGGCCCTTGCAAACAGCCCACCATGACTGACTGGGTCATCGAGATGGTCTGGACACCCTCCGCATTGTGTAAGCTCAGGGCGATTTGTCCCACCGCAGGCCGGAAAATACCGTTGAGGCCGTCCTGCACGTCAATCAGACCATACTGGGCAGGGTACACATTCCGGTGGGATGGCTTGGGAACCCACCATCCGGGTTACTTTCCAAGGAACGACCAGGTGTCACAGCGATCCAATGGATGAAGCACCGCAGGCCAGTGACGCATGCGGAAAAGAGGTCCAACCGCCGAGGGCCAGAAGGAAGCGCCGACACGAGCATGACGTTGAGTTTGCATTGATTGCATTTGTTTGCATGACTTACTTTTGGAGCGGGGATTACCGTGTTGGGTACTGTTTGTGTTGTTTGGGTACCCCACCTTGGTTTGTCTGGTTTGGTTCGCTGCTGTTGCCTGTTTGAGGCAGTTTGTCATCACGGGACGGCATTTCCCAACCACCATTTTATACATCCATCAGGCTTGTCTGATTGGCATTGGACACATCCCCCCTTCAATCCGTATCGCATGGAATATGCCTCAGTGGAGCTCGTATTGACTAGTACCTGAGTCATATCAGTGTTGAGCTAGGGTCAGAAACAAGCAACGAAGATTCATCAGCACTACGGTAGCAGTCATAAAAGTTACTCAGCATATCCGCGTGAGTCCGATCAGTGACGGACGAACCCTCTCAGGCACAGTAGTGTAGCTGCTTATTCATTACGATTAGGGTTGATCAGCTGCCGAGACAAGATCAGCAGAGAGATTCCGCCGGATGAACAAAAGATAACAAAAGACCTTTCAAGCAGTACATGATCAGATGGATGTATAGCGGTGGCCAAAAGCATTATTTATATATACGAGCATCGGTAGTACTTCGGGATATCTCCGTTGATCACCAAAGAGCACAGTTTCAACTAACTTGTCTCCAACGCATTTAGCAAGTTCTGTGAAACAATCTCTAATGGAATGGTTGTCGATATACTTTTCAGTAGTGAGATACCGTAGACTAGTAGTGGGCATACACCTCTTCTTGAAATTGTTAAGGATATAAATAGGCCATGACAACCCAGGACCCTGTGTTTGAAGTTTAGTAAGTTGAGCACCACTTTTAACATGCCACAAAATGTCACCAAGCAGGCGCAATTACTCGCAAATGCGGGACGCCGCCTTGAACATCAGAGCAGACAGCGACGACGAGTACGCACATTCAGATATAGACGCCGGCGAAGACGAGGCATTGCATATACTCATGGAAGAAAATTACAACGAGGGTGCTTCGTATGATCAAAGCTCCACTGACCAATTTGCAAACGATGACGAGGACCCTATATGGCGAACTCAGGCTGATAATTTATTCAGCGGGAATGACAGCGACGGTGCAGATGAGGGAGAGCATGCCTCGTTACAAATTCAGTTTGATCCTGACAGCCAGGGCGAACACGTTGACTACCCACCACCACCTCCATCTCCCGGGTTACCATATAAGAAGTACTCACACAAAGAGAAGTACGCCAAGCCAGCACTCAAAGACAAGCCAGGTGGCGAATCAATCGACAATCTCATATCCTACTGTGATATGGTCGTCGACATGAGCAATATCAGGTCCGCTCTTCGAAGTGTAGAGCTCTACCTTGGAAAAGGCCAACCCCGGGAGGCTGATTCCGAGGCCCAGAAGGCTCGGGATTTGGCAGAAAAGTATGACGACAAACCAGTGCTCGCACGGTGCAGGTACTGGCAGGCTCGGGTGGAGTTTGCCCAAGGAAAATATGATAAGGCGTACGAATTATTCAGCGAATGCCAGTTATGGATCACCAAGCAACCCGAGGCTAGCACAATGGCGTTTTACCTGCCACTCTGTCAGCCAGGATTGAGCGACCAAGAGCGACAGCGCTTGCTGGAGGACGCTCAAAGACGTGCAATGCAACCACAGAAGATGCAAGCGGTTATTGAAGTGCCAGACAACCGAGACTCGAAACGAAGATGGGAGGATAGCCTTCACTTGTTGTCGCAAGATACCATCCCACAGCCTATGCATCGGCGGCGAATAGCCCGCCCCAAGTCCCTGCTCGAGAGGCAACCGGAAGATTCCAGTGGACTTAAACTTGGTGGGAAGCAAAAAGTTTTCACTTTTGAGATGCACCCCAAGGGCATGGCAACAAGATTCCGGCCGACAGATATTTTCTCTGAACAGCCTTATGAGGTTATTGTGCCACAAGAACAATGGGAGGATTTCATTGACTATCACAGGGACCAGAGCGTCACGTTGACTTATCTGGAGAGGGAGAGACGACGGTACGAAACCGTCATCCAAGAGAAGTATAATCAGCGCTAACCCGCTGCGTGCTGGTCTGCCTTTTTGGCAAGGGAACATCCGGTTTGGTGAGGATGTGGGATACTGTTGGAGTAATGGTCTTTCATATTGTTTATATATAAGGCTTCTTTCATACCGTTTTCTGCACCTGCCCGACTAGTGAGTGTCACATGCATATCTCCTTCTCTTCCTTCCTACCTTTCACATATACCCATTATTTGATATAGTTCAACTCAGTTAAAGTCATAAAAATCATTTCATAGCATTGCGATCGTAGATACGCCTCAAACCTTCAATAGCTACCACAAAGCCAAGTCAGCAATGTTCAGACCCCAAGCCCAGCTTGCAGCGCCCATAGCTCCAACACTCATCGTAAAGGCCATCAGAAGATTGACGGCGTTGTTATCTAAGAGGTCCCGTCCACTTTCTACCCGCCGGCTTTCGTGTCCCGATTCAGTTTCTCCTGCGGATGTTCCCGTCGATGTTCCAGTAGCCCTGGTTCCTTTCAGAGTGGCGGTGTTAGCTACTGCCTCGGTGGCGTGTACCTGCGCACTCGAGCTTGACCCAGCAGGTTTCAGACCGGTGGTATCAGCTGGGACACCGGGCTTAGTAGAAGAGGGGTGAACAAGGACCTGCAAGATGATATCAGTATTATCCTCTGCTAACAATCCGGTAGATGCTAAGCATGTACTGACCTTCTGACCACCAGCTCCTTCGATAACCTTTCCTGTTCTCTTGTCGACCACGCTAGCCTGCAGCAATCCACCCAAGACACTGTCCAGCACACTGCCCAAACCTCCCCACATTGTCACGGCCAAGATCCACTGGGCCCGGCTCTTGAGCATCGACAGGGTATCGGCTTCGGCGCAGAAAGGTAGGATAGCAGCGGACGACACAGCAATTGTAAAAGCACCCAGCACTCCTGCTAGGAGTCCGGTTCCAGTTACACCGCCATTGGTACCAGGAGGAACGACGCGGAACGTGGGGGAGGTGATCAGGCGGGGTTTGGACTTGGATAGGATACCAAGCTCGGAGGAGTATGTATCAGCGGCGACTGCGGCGTAGTTCCTACCACGATGACCTGTTAGTACGCGCATAAGAAAGGTTAGAAACAGGGACAGGCCTTACGCGACTATTCCCACGACCAACAAATCCGCCACATTATGACCATTCGAAAAGCACTGTGTTGCGCTTGCAGGTTGTCCCGCAAGAACATATGTATGTAGGAGAGCAAGCACTGTCGCGACAACAGAGTTCGCCAGGACTTGGATGTGGGTACGCTGACCCTCGCCGCCCTCGGAGCCGGTCGCGGAGAGCGTCAAACGAGCTTTAACATCATGTTTAACCTGACAAGTACGTGATTAATAATTACAAACCGCGGATCGATGATGTGAGCAAGGGATATATACCTTGGTAACTTTGGTGCCCCCAAAGTAGAAGACTCCTAACAAGACGAAAGGAGCGGACCATGGATGAAGAGCATGGGCGCTGGCTGTCAGCGCAGCCGCAATGAGGCCGGGAGTGGTCAGCGACTTTCGCGACCAGGCACGATGAACAAGCACTATCACCGCTGGGATACCGATGTATGGTTTCATGGTGAAGGCAGGTAGCGACACCAAGGAAAAGCAGGAGAAAGTTGGGGCAGAAAAAGAGATCGGGGAGAAGAAGAGCATCGCGTATCTTAGCTTGATCTTTAGCGCGGGTAGCTCCGATGGGGCCAGGTGACCATCCGCGGGTTGATGTTGGTGATCGGCAAACACAAAGCTGGATGACTGTATGCACATGGATGGAAACAGAAGGCAAATCCAATATTGAAATTATTTCAATGGCATCTTCCTTTTCGCCTTTGAGCAGTATACATTGTTCCGTTCCAATCTCAGTGGCAGTGGAGCCCCAATAGATCGATGGATTGATTCTAGCTGATTTACCCCACAAATATACCGCCATTCATACTTTCCCCTAGATTTGCTCATTTGCTCATTATGAAAGGAATGTTTACTGAACTTACACTAAGGTTAAGCTCCTGTTTTTCTTAGTTTGGTAGTAAGCTTGCTTGATGGAGATGTCAAGACCATGGGAGCATTGCTTAACCATGGCTTCTGCCTGACACATGTGCGCAGCAGCTGCAAGCGCCGACCCCGCCTGGCCAGCTCCATCCCCTTCACTTCACCCTCCCAACAGCTTGTTCTCTTCTCTTTCCTCCAGTCTACAACAAGGGAAAGCGTTCTGCCTCACAATCCATCACTTTTATCGTTTGGCATCAAAAACATGGCTATTGTCTACGGATTGCCCACGGTGGCTTCCACAGTAGCAGCAGCGGTATGAGCAAGCCCACTGTTCTTGAACACCAACTGACAAGTCATCGTTTCATCTGATAGTTTGCAATTATCGCCATCATTCTTGGAGCGTCAGTGACTTTCTCACTCTTGCCATAGAGGTATACGTCGAGGATCAAGCTCATTCATCTCATTAGGCTGTCCTGGTCTCGTACAGCTTCACTTTACCTTCCCCTTCCTGATTGGGTTCCAGCCATCGCCACCCTCTTCCCTCCTCTTACAGCACTGGCACTGTATCTTGCCAATCAACTCGCCCAGCCAGCTGCAGATAACCGCCAGTCATCTAGCCCCTGGCGAAGACTCTTTCCCGTCATCAACCACCTCCAATCCATCATAACCACAGTCATCGCCACCGTGGCCCTCGCCTATCTGTACCCAGAGAGCATCACCACCTGCCGACTAGAGCAGGAATGGCAGTCATACTTCCGCGCGAAAGATGCTCAACCGATCCGTGCTATTCAAGACGAATTCCGCTGCTGCGGATTCCGGAGTATCCATGACCGAGCGTGGCCGTTCAAGGATAAGACCACCGGGGATGATGCTTGTGAGGTACAATTCAATTACGGGACAAGCTGTCTGGTCCCGTGGCGACAGCAGCAGCAGAGTGCTTCATGGATGGTTTTTGCAGCTGCTATTTTGACTCTACTCATGAAGGTCTGTGTCTGCGCTTCGTTATAGGTGATTCCTTACTAAGGCAGCTACAGGTTGCATTATATCAGGCTCTGCGTCAGCGACCGAGCTGGATGACAATGCAATTTGGCAGACAGGCACGCAGTCAGCAGCGGATCACGCACGCTGCGCTGGAGGACGAAGACGCCAATGATGACGCGGAGGAGGGGCAGCGGGGAGCGTTCCTGCCTCGTGCGGGTCCAAGGTTTGACAATGAGTGGAATGATCGGTAGATCGCTTTATTGCAATCAATCACAGGGTTGTTTGCAACTTGGTAGCTGAGTTTCCTGCCATGCACGCACTGATGCAACTAAGATGGACCGGTACTGGTACGAGCAGTGACAAAACAAAAGAGAAGGATCTAGTGTATTACATGCGCAGTCGTCTTTTCAAACTCGAAACAGGTTACGACTAATCGTAGAGACACATACCTTACATTATTACTCTGCGTATTATACTGATTTGCTTGACTTGCTTCTCGCAATTGAGGTCATCCAGTCCTTATCGGCGTCCCTGTTTCTCTAAAGGTGGGTCGAAGGGCGCCTCAACAGGCGTAGATAAAGGGCAGAGGGAATTGGGGGGCCAGTACCTTCACGAAGGGCACCCCAGCCGAGCTTCTGCTTGTTTTGCCCTTATTGCAGCGGCATGGAGACAGATCATACGGGTGATGACTTCTCAGCCGCCAAGCAGAACGACTGCCCGGCCGTTGACTTTCGGCCGGCCAAACGATGGGGGGCAAGCAAGCAGGATGTATGGTCCGTTATCAACGAAGGTGCCGAGGCCTCTCGCATCAAGCCATGCGTAAACCTCAGTCAGGGCTATTTGTGAAACTTCCCCTCGAAGCATCGGAATGTTATGTTTCCTGTCGATCGTGACTAACCTGACATAGGAATGCTTAGTGTATGGATGGCGTTTCTGAATCCGGGTGACGAAGTTATGCTTTTTGAGCCCTACTTTGACCAGTAAGGTGGCGCCCCATCGCCCTCGTTCTCGGACGGTCTACTATCCATGTGATACTTACACGTCCGGCTTGCGCTCGTCGCTCCTTGCCGTAGATCCTTGGACTACATTCATATGGCTGGGGGCGTCATTCGATGCGTTCCTCTGCGACCTCCTGCGAAGGCAGACATTGCAATCTGCTCGTCCCCTGAGTGGACCACCAATTTCGTCGAGTTGGAACAGTCAATCACCTCACGCACCAAGATGATTGTGCTAAACACCTGTATAACCCTACAGGAAAGGTGTTTTCACGCGAGGAGCTGCGGCACATCAGTGACATTTGCGTTCGACATAACCTGCTTTTACTCAGCGATGAGGTATATGACCGGCTCAGCTACGTGCCTTTTACACGAGTTGCAATTTTAGGCCCCGATGTGCAGCAACGAACTATCAGCGTTGGATCTGTAGGAAAGCATTTCTTTGTACTGGCTGGAGGGTAGGCTGGCTTATCGTCCCTGCTCGGTTGATATGATGCTATTGCAACAGCACACCTGCGCATTTGTTATTGCACACCAGGCCCTTCACAGGAAGCAGCTGCGGCTGTGTATGAGCAAAGCCTATATAACGGCTTTTGGTCGCAGACGCGCACGTTGGTTCGAGAGAAAATGATTCGGCTTTGTCAGGTCTTCCAGAAATTGGATCTTCCCTACACGATCCCGGAAGGCGGCTATTTTGTCCTCGTTAATCTGGCCAAAGTCCAGATTCCTAGGGAGTATAGGTTTCCGCCACATATCCGTGACCGCAGAAGGGATTTCCTGCTGGCATGGTTCTTGATCATGGAACTGGGTGTGGCGGCCATTCCTGCGAGTGAGTACTACAGCCCGGAGCACGCATGCTTGGGAAAGAACTATCTTCGCTTTGCGATTTGCCAGAACGATGACATACTGAATTAGCCAAGGCCAGGCTTCGCGGGTTACAATTTTACTTAACCGCCTAATAGATTTCACTCAAATTGGTGTAGCCTGTGGTTTGCTTATCAGTAGATTCCCCCGGCGGGACTCCGGTCCCCCGTCAGCG